TCAACCTCACCCTCACCCTCACCCTCACCCTCAGCCTCACCCTCAGCCTCACCCTCAGCCTCACCCTCAGCCTCAGTCTCACCCTCACCCTCATCCTCACCCTCAGCCTCACCCTCACCCTCATCCTCACCCCTCGTCAGAACAGTGGGTCCTGTGTGTGTGTTTGAATTTTTCTTTTTTCCACACTGATGTATTAATAGCAGACGAGTCGGCGGCCGAGGCCAAGCTCTGGTGGTGAGTGGGCCGCAGCCAAACTCCGCTGCAGAATTAAGTAACATTGGACTGATTTAAAACTTTCCGATGAACCCGGGGCTCTCTGATCAACCGGTATCTACTGGGACGACCCCGAGGGTCGCGTTCCAGTGAGGACCAGACGGAACTAAGTGGAAAAACATCATTAGCCTGACTGCTAAGAAAAGTCAGGAACTGGTTCTTGATTCCAGTTCTGGACACACACACGTGTGTGTGTGTGTGTGTGTGTGGGTGCAGAGAGAGGACCAACAATGTAACCCAACTCCTACAATTAAAACACGCAGCGCTCACTGCTACGTCGCCTGTTAGCCGCTCCTGGCTGGAAAAATCATTTTCCATCACGGTGTGAAAATGAGACAAACCTGAAAAGTCCTGAGGACGAGGTTGGACGGACAGACTGACTGAACCACGGAAGAATTCAGACATAAACCTTCAACATCTGATGCAATGTCGTGTCATAAGGACAAAAAAAAACCCAAACGTCAGCAGCCGGCTGCAGCTCAGGGTACGTCATGAACGCACTGAAGCTGAGAGAAGAGCATCATGGGAAAACAGGGCTGCGATCACGATCACGCCCGTCTGTCTCTACGCTGACAGACTCTACAGTACACAGTCAGACGTGAATACTGTAATACTCCTCAGGTTACTGCAGTACATGACTTTTCTTTCTAACATCAACACCTTTGTGTTCAAACCCGTGGCTCCCCGGCCCACACACAGTCCAGTGTGTGTGGTGTTCACGGTCATTCATCACATAATGACACCGTTGATAAACAGCAGTGGAGGTCACGGAGTATTTACAGATTAACATCTGCTCTGACTAACTAACTAACACGGTGGTGGTGCGGGGTACTGCACCCTGACCCAGTAACTGCCGTCTAATTACATGGGAAAATACACGCAACAAATGCACGGTGTCGTCATCAAAGGTCCCAGCATGCATCAGTTACTGAGGGGGAATAAGAACCATCAAAGGTCCCAGCATGCATCAGTTAGAACCAGTTTCAACAACCTAACCTGGTACTAATGTTTGGGTTCCATCGGTACTGCAGCCGTCAGACGGTAAAACCATCAAAGTCAAAGTCCAAACAGAACAGAACAGAACATTGGTACCAGTGCAAAGACGGAACCGTCGTCTGTCCCAGAACTGATTATTGTTGTTACATTGTTGGAGACGTCGGTGTCAAACAAGTCGCTCTCAGTTTCAGAAAGGTCGGCGACCCCTGGTGTCTGCCTCAGACTGGTTCTCAAACAGAACAATCTGTACATGTTCTAATGAAGACGATGATGATGGACAACTAACTCAGGTTGACTTACGAATCTGGACGAGTTGTCGTTCCTCACTGTTTTGGCGTTTCCAAACGCTGCAAAAGATGAAGGAGAAAAAAAGGTAGTAAACAGCTGGAATATGAGAGTTTTTCCATGTATTTTTCCATGTATTTTCCATGTACTGTAAACTGGGAGTGGATTTTATTAAAGCCATTAAGCCACGTATTATGGATTAAGTGTCTGGGATTTCCAGGATTGTCAAGGACCGTTCAAGGCTGTCACGCAACACTCACATCCAAGCATCAACACTGAAATTAATAACAAAAACAAAAAAAAAAACACCCAAACAACATGTTCTAAAACAAACATGTTCTAAAACAAACATGTTCTGATCACTTGAACGTTCCAGTTTAAATCTCACATTAAAAGCTTTGCTCACTTTCTGTTTTCACAGCTGAGACCAGGACTTTTTGAACGTTCAATTTTAAACCTCACATTAAAAGTTCTGCTCACTTTCTGTTTTCACAGTTGTGTTTTTTCTTTCTGAATTTTTATCAACATTATTTTAATGTTATATTAATATTAAATACAATTATATATATATATATATATTTCCCCCTTTGATTTAAACAGCCTTTTGTTGAATTGAACAAATGTTGATAAAGCAAATAATACTGGCTGTAAAAATATTCCTGTTTGTTGTTTTTATAATAAGCTCACACACACACACACACACACACACACACACACACACAGTGGCTCTTGTTACCCATAAGGCTGTGCTACATTTATGTGAATGACTCTCAGTTTATGGGATGTTCATTAAACCTCAACCTCCAGAAACATCGGAGACAGAACCTGGTGATGGTGAGTTCAAAGTACTGCTGTGACTGATGATTAATCTGTGCCAAAGTCCTCATTTATGGAGACTATGGAAACGCCGCGGACGAAGGACACGCAGAGAGAGAACAAGGCGGGGGGGTCGGGGGGGGGGGGTGATAAATGTAAAGACATAAAAATAAATCATTAGAAATTACAGACCAAAAACGGTGGATGGCACAGACGCTGCCATGTCAGAGCGACCGCTGCAGTACCTCATTCTAACACCAGGGCAGTTAGAGCAGCGGGAGTTAAACTCTTGCAGATGTGCAGAGTTTTTCGCGGGGCCTCGTAGCCCGGGGGTGTACAGCTACATCATTCACGGGCATTTCCTGTCTACTGCCCCCAATTAAAACACAGCTGTTAATGTGCCAGCAGTGAGATGTGGGAATGTGTACGGCATGTGTGCGGTGAACGGAGGGAGAGCCGAGGAAATTCATGTGGTCGGGCAGTATTTACGACTGTCAAACGTTTTTTTTTTTTTTTTGCTGATCAGTTACTGTGAAATTACAATTTTTTCCGGCGACGCTTAAATTTACAAAATTGAAAACATTATTTTCGACCATCTTATGAAACACATTAACTAATCTGCACAGCTAATTAAAATGTTCTTTTTTTTTATTACTTTACGGAGCATTATTAACTCCAACTAAAAGTTTTCTCTGTGCTCAACAAAACTGAAAACCCATGGATTTAACATCTCAGTCCCGGTGACATTGGGAACAGTTTTCCTGGTTGTTTTTATATGAAATTCACTCCGACAGGTTTGGACACGTCGCTCCGAGTCGCAGAGGAACCTCGACAAGTTTGAACCTGGATCTAAACCCGTTTCAGTTTCTGATTGAACAGCTGATCGACTGGAGCCTCAGTCCTTAGACCAGACAGAGAAGCAGGTCGTGAACTGGTGTCAAAGGTCGTCCTGCAGAATTCTACAGAGAAGGAATGGGTTTTTTTTTCCATGAAAGTCTGGAATAACATGGAAATTTTAGACACTTGTGTCTGTTTGAGTTAAATATATTTTTCTTTACATACTGTACATATCAAATCCATCCATGCTAACGAAGCCGCGGTTTCTCGCGTTTTTTTGGGTTTTTTCCCCTTTTAACAGTCTTTATAAAAAAAAAAAAAAAAAAAAAAAAAAGGTTCAGTCTGAAGGTCGTGCGTTTGTTGCAGCTGTGTTGGGTTCGCGGCCCTTCACTCACCCTCCAGTACTGGGTTGGACTGCAGCAGCTGCTCCTTGACTTTGTTCACCTCCTGGCCCCTCCCACACACCGCTGCCACATATGACATCACCAGCTTACTGGCCTCTGGAACAGGGAACAGACACAGACGATTGGATCAAGGCAGCAGGGAGATATGACCTCACCATAACTACGACTCCCCCCTTACGTCACCCCCTCTCACACCAGGGTGGAGTTTGTTTCTAGGCAGACGAACTTTGGTTTTAAGTTCCATCAGTTTCTCAGACTCAGAGGTAACGACTGAAACATGGTCTCACTCTGCTCTGACTGTTGGGGCCAAACACCAGGGTTAACCCTGCTCAGATTAGATGATGGGACTTTTGCCGACCCCCCCTCCCCCACCCCTCGGCCTCTACTGACCTTTAAATAAAAACCTTTTACTGACCTTCAATTATCAACTTTTTGATGATCATTCCTACTTAAGTAAAAGGTTTATATTTAACAAAAGAAATCAATTTTCTCTTCGATGATCATTCCTACTTAAGTAAAATGTTTATGTTTAACAAAATAAATTTGCCGACCCCCCCTCCCCCACCTAAAGAAAATATTTAAATTGAAAATAACCACCAGCAGCTACAAGATCAACTCAACAAAGATTCACCTGAAGAAAATATTTAAATTGAAAATAACCAGCAGCAGCGACAAGATCAACTCGAAGATTCACCTGGTACTGGTACTAGTACTGGGACTGGGACTGGAACCTTCTTATCGTGGGCGTTTATCTGTGGTTTATTTGCACCTTTTCTTGCACCTTTTCCGTCCTGATCTTTCACAGCTCAGTGAGGAACTGGGATTAGTGGGGAATCAAAGGAATGGACTGGAAAAAATCCAGACAATATTTTTTTCCATCCATTTCCTGTGTGAAGAACTGATGGACGGTTATCTGAGCGTGTGTGCTGTGACTGTGTCGTCTTATCAGAGTTGATGGTCTGACTGAGGGATGTGAACCAGCCGTGGGTCGCTGTCTGGGCGAGGTGACCTTCCTGTAGGATCAAAATCATCTCTGAGGAACAGAGACGACGGAGACCCACAGCTGATGACGGAGCTGACGAGCACCAGCTCCACGCACACTCATCCGTTCTGCCGCGGTAGAAAACGGTGCAGAAGAATAAACTCTGAGTCAAAAACTGTTTTTTTTAATAAATCTTTTTGGACGGGAAGAGAAACTTCCTCTTTTATCTCTAACCTTGAGATGATGTTGTGTCTCCAGAACGTTGGCATCTGATTCATTACAGAAGTCGAGACAAAGGCCTCACAGATAACCCAGGCGGGCAGACATGAACCTGCCCCCTACTGACTCACAGTGGAACCACATCAAAGAGTTTCTCGCGTCACTACAGTATTTCTTTAAACCTGATCGTGAACCTGATCGTCATCTACGGGGGATGAGAAATCTGTAAAACATGACGTGAACTTGAATTCTAGTCTTAAATCAACATAAAAAAAATACAGGATTCTGTTAATTTTTTTTCTGTTTTATACTTTTGGATGATGTAAAAAAAGTTTAAAAAAATATTGGGGTTCATGTATAAATGTTGGTTTTGGTCGTGTCACAGATCAGTTCAACCAAACGTCGATCGACAACACGATAAATATTCCAGAATACTTTCATAAACTGTTATAATATTTAGAATTCTTGTCCATTCACAGACGAGGAAACTCTGGCCTACATCTACATCTACACTGACGTCTTTTATTTTGACCACGGCTCAGATGAACACACACTTCAACCTGGAGTGAAGTACAACCCAGGTTTCTGTGTGGGTTGAACAAACTGTTGGAAAAGTGTGTTTGATTACACTACACCCGCTATCACTCAAGATAATTTATGGGTACATACTACGACATACTTCCCAGCAGCGTGTACTCTGCTAACACAGTATTTGTACCTGCAGCAGGGTACGGGCCACAGATAGCTGTGATATGGCACTGCCAACACACAGCAGGACATTCCATTCCCCACAGATTTCTGTCAGGTATGTGAAACTGCTGAGAATATTTATAAAAAACAAAAAAACTCCTCAAACACAGCTGCCTTTAACAACAGCTACACGTCCGATGTCTAGACGAGATTTTTCAAAGGTTTAATCAGGGGTAAAAAAACAAACAAAAAACAAACAAACCAACTGTTCTGCTGCTCCAACCTGAGGTGTTTCACCAGGCTGTGGTCACATGGTACCGTGTGGACCATGGGTACCATGGGTACCATCACCTCTGCACTGTGTTTTTTATACTGCACATGGCGAGTATTATTACAACAGTGGCTCAGAAATAACTCAGAATAACTCACTACTGAGTCACTAGTTACTACTAACTCAACCTTGAAAAGAGTTTTGTTCCTCCTTGATCCTGCAGCTTCTTAGGAATAAGGATTCACTCGTGTGTTTGATCCTTTCTGGGAAGTACAGAGTACTGCAAGTATGTATACATAAATGGACAAGACCTCATTCAGCTGTAGGACTGCTAACATTAGCTGTAGGACTGCTAACATTAGCTGTCCTACAGCTAACGTTACAGGTAGTAACCAGTAACCTCAGTATGTACAGCCACAGTTGTATGTTGTTTAAATGGGGGGGGCTCCTTGTCTTATACAGAACTCACCGGTTTTCCCAGCTCCACTCTCCCCCGTGATGAGGATGCACTGGTCCTTGTCCTGGTCCCTCAGGGATCGGTAGGCCTCATCTGCCAACGCGTAGCTGAAAGGAACAAAAAAAAAGAGAAGACAGAAAGGTACAGAGACGTTAGCTGCTGGAGCTCAGTTTTCAGTCCAGATGTAGAGGTGTTGGTGTTTAACCTTCCCTCAGAACTGTGTACTTTTGCGTCATGCTACGTGGGTCCTAGCCTAATCACCAGCATGTGGCTAAAGTGGGAATTAGGACACATGTGTTGGACAGTCTTTATTTAGTAACAGGGAGGGTCGTGTTGTGGTCTGTCCTCCTGTGACTGACAACTTCACTCACTCCTCAGGTGAAAACAGCAGAAACGTGTTTGGAGCTCATTTATAAAAATCAACTCCTGCAAAAACGCTCATAACTGTAGACCGCTGTTACAGTCTACAGACGTACCACGACATAACTGGATTTATTATTGCACTTTAACCCCCCCCACTGAATTCCAGAACAACATGTTATCTGTCTGGGAGGATGCTTCTGCAGGAGGGTGTGGACGGAGCGAGACGACAACTGACAATGTTTGACATTGTTGTCTGTCATTTTTTTATAGAATACACCCTCAGAGAAGCAGTCCCAGAGGAGGGGGGGGGGGGGGGCGCTCGTTTTTCATTCTTGACAAACAAAGATACAGTAATTACTGGATGATACAAAACAATGATCCTCAACCTTCACGATCGAGATCGAGAATTCAGTTTTACACCAACATTTAGTCACTGCTTTAACTCAACTCAGACACTTTGAACAAACTTATTTTTTCTCTTTTTTTTTTGCATAACAAAAGCCTCGATGAACAGCCTGTAGAACGCTACAGCGCTACAGCCCAGACTACAGCTCTAATGGACTTCATGGTTCTGCTCCATCTCACACTGTTCTGGACTCCAGCCACCACTGCCCCTGCATTAGTACCCTGGAATGACCGGGTGCAGAAATGCTGTGCATGACAGTAATGGAAATGGACCCTGGGGGTAAATAATGGGGGGGGGGGGGCAACCAAAAAATGCAGGCTGGTAAGTTACCAATGTTAAAAAATGTTTTTCTTCCTAAAACCAACTACCGTCTTCTCTTCTCAGTTTCTTTTTCAGTCGACGTCGCAGCCACTTTAAATAATGTTGAATTATTTTTGCACATTTCTTCTGCGGAACAGCCGCAGGACATGACGTCACTGCTGAACAGAGGAGAACGGTCCATCAGACAATTCACTCCCACCGAGGGGAGGCCAGGGAGGGGGCAGAGTCCTGGGGTAAAAACTCTAAACCAACAGTGTGTCCTGTGGAGCAGCCACGACTGGAATCAACACGGGCTACAAAATAGATTGGAAGAAAAACCAAAACATCTCTAACTCTTGTAAGTTCAAAGGTTCACGTGGTTTTATAATCAACTTCACAGATGTGGCAGCAGCAAAAAAAATGATGTCGTAGCAACAAGGTCACCGTCGACGGCAGTGGAAGAAGTGAGGCACCAAAACCCCACAGGCCTCTGTGTGTGTGTGTGTGTGTGTGTGTGTGTGTGTGCGTGGGGAGGGGTCAAACGGGCTCAGACCTTGGACCATAAGTGCGTGGCACCTCCCCTTCACATCTGCCTGCAGGCTGTAATTCAGACGTGCACGTGGCAGCGGTGAACACAAAGCCACAGCGGCATGAGGTAAAGACTAGAAAAACACTGTCCTCAGGTCGTCTTACTCACAGCNCCCCCCCCCCCCCCCCCCCTGCCCCCCTCCTGTGTGTCCTGTGTGAGAGCTGAATCCTAAACCAGGGGATTAATGTGAAGCAGAATTAGTGTCTTTTAAAGTGATGATTTGTAGACGATGGCAGAGTAAGAACAACCCCCGTTATTTACCCCCGTTAACTACCCCCGTTAACTACCACGCTGACGCTAAATGAACCTTATGACATTTTTATGTCTTAGAGCAAACGCATCGGTACCGTGCCTCTAAAAGGCCTCAGGAAATCCGCTTGGCTTTGACGGAACAGCCGAGGAAGCAACGCTTTCCTGACGCTGGAAGGGCGGGTGTCGGGCGCAGACAAATACAGTGGCACGCACTCGGACATTTTTTTGTCTGACAAATGTGCTGAGGAGTGTGGAATCAGACGGCGGATGCACATGGACACTAAAGAGGCTCGGGGACAGATGTGGTGCATCTGTGGAGCGGTGGTGACGACGTGTTGCTGCACCGAGGTGGCAAGTGAAGAACAGCGCTCTCTGCCGCAGTCTAATAAACGGGACGCGGCCCATAATTAACGTTTATTCTGCAGAGCATTCGGGACGTGCAGTTTACAAGGTGCAATAAAGAATGGCACGAAATAACGCCAAATTAAAAGCTGGGAATCAGACTCTCTCTCTGGGTCGTCTGAGACCTGTTACGTTGCTCATTGATACCTCCCCGACTCAGACGTCAAACTTTGAGGGGGTCGAAGGCTTTAATTTACTTTACAGCACAGCAATTTAGTGTTCCAGTGCAGGGAAAAACACAGGTCCAAACTGTTTGTGTTATCCTTGGAAAAAAGCAGGAAGCGTGCGCGCTGGCTCCAGGAGGATCTTCAAAGCTGTTCTCCAACAGTGAGCGTCCGCTGGCCTTCCCAGGACACATTCTGGGAATTTGTCTTCAGAAAATTAAAAAGGAAAAAAAAAATGGACCGGATCGTCTGAGTTATTTCATACGACAAGTCATGGATGAAACCGTTTTGCCTTTGGCTGCAGCACATAGAGAAACACGGAGAATGTACGGCCACAAGGTCCCGGCCACAGACGGTACTGTACCACGCACAAGGAACCGAGTTCTTTTTATAGTTCCAAAAACACAGTAAGCTCAGACAACTTCCTCTCCTCACTCCGGTGTCTCTGCCTGAGCCGTTCTCTCTGCTGCAGATATTTTCTGGTCACTTCAGGCTCACCCAGTCGAAACGCTGCGCAGCACATTTTAACGACAGAGTGCAGCGGCACAAGAGTACGACAACTTCTCCTCGGTGTGAACGCTCAATAAAACGGAACACTGCACCTCCACTTTCAGGAGGTCAAGAAAAAAAAAAAAAAAGAAATCCCCCGTTCATTTTCTCCAAACAGAAATTCTCTCTGAAAGTCTGAAAATTCTCCAAACAGAAATTCTCTCTGAAAGACCTTAGAGTCTGGAACGAGGCCGACTTTCTGGAAGATAAACCGTTTAAACCTCTGTTTTCTTGGAAAACCAAGTTTAAACGATGAATGTGAAGTACAACATAAAGAAAGAAGTACTTTATACTTTATTACAGTGAATTCAGTGACTTCAAACGTCATGATTGGTGTGTGTTGTCAAGAATCTGGTGATACGATACGTATCACGATATGAGGCAACGACACAATATATTGCGATACTTTACGATTTTTAACAATTGTAGGAAATCTGTCAGTTAGTGGTAAAAACAACAACAGGTTTGTGAAAATCTACATTTGAAATCACTAGAGAAGAAACAAAAAGGATTCTTTGGATAAAATTTGTTTGACTCAGACACTGCTGTAGAATATTGATACAGTACTACTCAGACACTGCTGTAGAATATTGATATATTGAGAAATATTGCAATATTTCAGAGTATCGTAAATTAATGTACAGAAATGGAGTAGGAAATTAACTGAATATAATTGAAGAGATTTATTTATTTTTATGTAAACAAGTTTAGGATTTTAAAAAACCCACACACGTAGGGAGTACTTCAGACCAGGTACAGTACTTCAGACCAGGTACAGTACTTCAGACCAGGTACAGTACTTTAGACCAGATACAGTACTTCAGACCAGGTACAGTACTTCAGACCAGGTACAGTACTTTAGGTACTGTATACAGGAGTAGTAGAGTTGTCTTGTTTCATCCTGATTATAATTGGTTACATTATCCACCGCTGTATTTTGGTGACGGGGTGAGGATGTAGGAGGAGGAGAAAAAAACTAAACAGTTTCCACTCTCTCCGTCATCTGTGTGTGGGTCGACTGAGCTCAGCTTCACGCCAACACACACGCTGGAGGACTCAGGCTGCCCACCTCAGTCAAATGCCATTTCATTAAGAGCCCACCTACACACACACACACACACACACCGTGTGCTGTGCTGCGTCTCTCCACGGCGCCCTTCAAACCTGCCTGTTTTATATAACTGTGAATTCAACAACCAAACGAGCAGCGAACGGAGCCTGAGCTGTGAAGAGTCGTCCTCGGCCTGAGGAGAATCAAATATTAACACCAGAGTGAGTGTTTTCACTGGGAAATAAACCTGTTCCTTTGGACACACTTGGGGAACCAACAGTCGACGACAAACAGTCGACGACGAACAGTCGACGACGAACAGTCGACGGCGAACAGTCGACAACAAACAGTCGACGCCAAACAGTCGACGCGAAACAGTCGACAACAAACAGTCGACGACGAACAGTCGACGACGAACAGTCGACGGCGAACAGTCGACAACAAACAGTCGACGACGAACAGTCGACGACGAACAGTCGACGGCGAACAGTCGACAACAAACAGTCGACGACGAACAGTCGACGGCGAACAGTCGACAACAAACAGTCGACAAAAAACAGTCGACAACAAACAGTCGACAACAAACAGTCGACAAAAAACAGTCGACAACAAACAGTCGACGACAAACAGTCGACGACGAACAGTCGACGGCGAACAGTCGACAACAAACAGTCGACAACAAACAGTCGACGACGAACAGTCGACGGCGAACAGTCGACAACAAACAGTCGACAACAAACAGTCGACGACAAACAGGCGACAACGAACAGTCGACGAGACTGTAAAAATCTATTAAAAAATAAAACAGGGTGAGACCCAACAAACGCCTCTACGATGAAAACAATGTTTACAAATGATAAAATTTACAACACCGACCGACATTAAAATCCAACTGATAAAACTGGAAAGACAAACACAGGAGCGCGGGGCTGAAAATGGCTCCAAAGTCCAAGCAGCAGGTCAGAGGAGTCTACGACACAATGGGTGGACCACTGACAAACCTGAGGGTCGGGGGCAGAGAGGGGGACACACACTGAACAGACACATTTGAGTGACTTGGTTTACTTTAGAATCCAGTCAGGGGCCAGATTCAGCCCGCAGACCACCAGTTTGTAGACCGCTGCTTTAGACGATGACATATTCAGCCAAACATTTATGATGACAGTGAATTTAAAGGTGGACAACGACGCAGGCAGGAACATGGAGAAAACATGTGAAATCAACACAGAGTTGAAGCAGCAAACCACAGATCTCACCCCCCAACCCCCCCCCCAATACTACATTTGAAAAGCCCATAGGTGGCCCCACTGTTCAGGATGATGACGACTCCATTTTAATTTTAATTTCACAGTGAAGCCGGTCGGGCCACCGTCACCATGAGACGGACGACAGTCCGACCATATGTCCAGCACCGGCCTCTTTGTTCCACCGAAACACCCTGGACCTCCACCAGGGGGATATCATCTTACTCTGGAGACCACGGTCACTCTGCCTGGCCACAGACGTACGTGTGTGTACGTGTGTGTGTGTGTGTGTGTACACACACCAAGCATAGATTTATTGAAGAGGAAACCAGACCATCTGCAGTTGCTGTGCATTGATGTAGTGAAAAAAACACCCCCCACCACCCCCACCACACACGCGGGGGGGGGGGGGGGGGGGTAACACCTGCCAGTTCATTATGAGGCGTCCTCATCTGGACTTCTGGGCTCCTTAGCTAAAATCTGCCAGCCAATGAAGTGATGGACAGATGATTGAAGACGGTTGTGGCTGTGAATATATTTAGTCACAAGAATCCAGGACACAGCTGGAGCTCAGAGCCACCAGAAAAAAACGACAGCAGGATCAGCTGTGGGAAAGTCAACGTGGTTCTCTTTTATGTTTTAGTTTTTCAGCTGAACTTCCTGACGTGTGTTGGATTCACAGCCCCTGGTGGTGAGTGTTAGTAGGTGTTGTTTTGACTCATGTTCTCTCCACCTTCACCATCACAATGGTTCAACAACACTTCAGACTTTACTGTTGTCAAAATAACCACCGATCACCACGACCACTTAGTCAAAGGATTGAGATGAAAATCTCAGGAG